TACTATGTGGGAGACAAATTAGATACTATATAACTTTAACAGAAAGTTCCAGATATTATTATATAATAATCATCACTTTAATTTGTATGAATTATACATTTTTACTACTAATTAATATTGAAATTAGAGTGGATTGATTTTGGTTTTTCCAATTTTAATCCAATTACATTTTGAATCATATTGAGTGAGTTATTACCATACACCCGATCAAAATTTTTATATCTTTTTCTCTAAAAAGAATAAACTATTAATAATTGAATTTAATTATTATAAATGATTGATTAATTAATTGTTCATAATGAATGATATTTTCTAACTTAAATCTTCTTAGATAATTTATCCCAAGTAATCAAATACTCTCCATTATCACTCATCTATCCAAAAATACTTTCACTCTCAAATTGTATAGATTATTATGTTATAAAATCACCGTTTTGGTTCTTCCTTATCAAATTAACACATTTTCCATTCTTATTCACAATCAAGCTTTTAGACTTGATAAATTATTAAGGAAAGAAATAATTGCATGACTCGGAATCACATTTAACAGGAATTTCTTTTGTTTTTGAGTACTAATTATTACTACTATTTATCTCATAAACATGCATCTACTCTTTACAAAGAGGTTGAAATATGAATTAATTATCATTTATGAAGCATAATCTTATACCCCATAATTCTAATTTTATCATTTATATTACATTCCATTTTTACGATGACTCTTCTATCAATATTAAACTATCTTATCCGCAAGATATCACTCTATTTTATTTCTCATTTAAATATAATCCTAATACTTGCTATTTATGATCTGTAATAGTTTGTGAACAAACCCAATGATTCTGCTTTATCCAAAACTTAATCGTTGTATCTTGGCTTCCTGATATAATAAGATCTTCATTATTATTCTGGATTAAACAATTAATCCAATATTTATGCTCATTCAATTTCTATGTACAAATCCATTAACTATTTTAATTCATCGACCATATTATAATCAACTTATCCCAACTCCCAGATATAAATTGAGTCTATTTCTTCATAAAATTTAAAGTTGAAACATTATTTTAATGTTCGCTAAGAATTTGAATTAGTTTCAACTATTCTTATTTAAATTCAAATACTTTGATCTTACTATAACACCCAGCTAATACAATTGAATTATCTGAATTAAATGCAATAGCATAGCAATATTCATTTTATTGGATTGAATAATCTTGAATCAAATCATAGGTGAATGATTCAGAAGTTGATTAATAATGATTATCTTATTGAATTAGCTTTTGTTGATTTAATTGGAGTTCTTAATGAATACTCATGATAGGATTAATTTGTTCAATTAATTAATCACCAAACTTTTGTTTGGAAGGCGATGATATTTAATTAAATTTCGCATCACTCATTAAATTTATATATTATTAACAGTTTCTATTAAAAAATTAGCAACTGGTTTAAAAACAAAATAAATTTAATCTTGATTTTTATCACTAATAAAAAATTTTACGTATTCCTACTTACGCAATCTCAAACAATATAGAATTTGATGAATCCTTCATTAATTAATTAAAATTATGATTTTTTTATAGAATAAGAACAATGATTTTATCATAAATACAATACAGTATATTATTTTGTTTAAATTTTTCGTAAGAGCATTTATTTTATTAAAAAAGCTTATAGCACACGAAATTCTTATTTTGTTGTTGTGCATTTTAAAACAGATAACTAGTCAAGTCTTAGAGAACATAAGTTCCAAAAGTAAAGAGAAATACAGACTTTCCAAATTATATCATTTTAAAGTTTGTAGATCAAATAGGGATAATAGTTCATAAAAAGGGTCGGAGTCATTAATAATCAATTTAACCAAATATGAAAACTTCATTAATCGCTGAATCAATAATTAAGCCATTTTTTTGTAACTGCTAAGGAGCTTCAATCATATGATAAAATAATAAGATTCATAACAATACAAAATGTAGAACGGGATGAAGGATTGAAGGAAAAATACTAAATGTAAGATTGAAAGAAGAAAGAATGATTTAACAATCAAGAAAAATAAAAGAATGAAATCATTATATAATATAACTTATAAATTTAATAACTACAATGAAATGAAACAAAAATAAAAAAAATACTGATTGAAATTCAGGAAACGTTGAAAGAAGAAATGTATCAAAAGATGACACTGGAAAAATGCTAATACTGTTGAATAGATGATGTTATGATTGGTAGAGCAATTAATGGAAAATAGAATTGATTATTATATTCAAAGAGAAACGAATAAATGTAATGATTCAACAACGCAATCACCTATTACTCACAATCAAAAATAAATGTATTAGCTGGCAGTTTAAATTGATTAATATGATTATTATCGAATATAATATGGCTTGAAAATCTTAATGATTCAATTATCTGGGTCGATAAAGTGTTATCTATTGATTCTAAACATGCTCTTTCATTATTTTCAAAAGGTAGTAATTCATGTTTAAAATTTAGGTGAATGATTAGTATTAGTTAATTTTAAGAATGTTTAAGAAATATGACGAAGCCATTAAGAATTTTAATCTATATTATTTACACATTAATTTAGGAGCCTGTTTACAATAATTAGAAAAATATAATGAGGCTATTTATTTTTATAATAAAGCTATTGAGATCAACCACAATTATTTTTGGGCTAAAAATAAGTAAGATATATATAAATCTACATAATTATAGTTGAAAATGAAAAAAAACTCTAAGGTAATATTTGTAAATTAAATAAATTTTTGAAAAATAGCATAAAATCTATAAAAAATGCGGTTTATCTTATCACTTATCAGTGATATAATAGCATTATAGAGAATAGAAAATATTCAAAGAGCTGAATTAATTTTAATGTTTGAAATTCTATATTCTGACTTTAAAGAGGAATTAAAATTACTTAAATGCTTGATGAGATTTTACTGGTTTAAAAGGGAAAAATAATAAAAGCAAAATAAACAGAGCATAAGTTATTATCATATCTGTTGATAATATTAGATTGTGGGATATAAAAGATAAATAAAAGTGCCAATAAATCAGATGTCTTACAAAAAGGAATATAAATTACAAATATATGCTTAATCACCTTCTACATACCAATGGGAAATGATTTGAAATAGAAAGTAAACAGTTTTTGACTGATGAAACTCAGATATTTGAGAATAATAATAATAATTTGATGTATGAATATGTGTTATTAAGAAAGGCCTCATGGAATATCAAGGTTCATACTGGTTATATA